GTTGCATCCCCCCCAATGGCCCCAATGACCCCAATGTCCCCATTCCCCAATGACCCCAATGTCCCCATTCCCCCGGATGACCCCAATGACCCCATCCCCCCCAATGGCCCAAATGACCCCAATGTCCCCATTCCCCAATGACCCCAATGTCCCCATTCCCCCGGTGACCCCAATGTCCCCATTCCCCCGGATGACCCCGATAGCCCCATTCCCCTGGATGACCCCAATGTCCCCATTCCCCGGCATGACCCCAATGTCCCCAATGGCCCCATTCCCATGGATGACCCCAATCGTCCCGATCCCCCCGATGACCCCAATGACCCCAATGTCCCCATTCCCCCGGGGGCCCCCAATGTCCCCATTCCCCCTGGATGACCCCAATGACCCCAATGTCCCCATTCCCCTGGATGACCCCGATGACCCCAATGTCCCCATTCCCCCTGATGACCCCGATAGCCCCATTCCCCTGGATGACCCCAATGTCCCCATTCCCCCGTTCCCCCCGGTGACCCCGGTGACGTCCCCGCGCAGGCTGGCGGGCGCCGGGGGCCGTAAGAAGGTGTTCCGCCTCAGCGACGTGCTGAAGCCGCTCAGCGAGGTGCAGGTGGAGAAGCTGAAGCTCGGCGCCGTGCGCCGCATCCTGCGCTCCGAGAGGGCCGTGGCGGCCAGCGGGGCCGCCCAGGTACGGGCCCCACACCTGGGATAACCCTGGGTGCACCTGGGGTACACCTGGGCACAGCTGGGCACATCTGGGATACACCTGGGCACACCTGGGATAACCCTGGGTGCACCTGGGGTACACCTGGGTACAGCTGGGATAACCCTGGGTAGGACACACCTGGGATACACCTGGGCACACCTGGGATACAGCTGGGCACACCTGGGATAACCCTGGGGACACCTGGGGTACACCTGGGTACAGCTGGGATACACCTGGGTACAGCTAGGACACACCTGGGATACACCTGGGCACAGCTGGGATACAGCTGGGCACACCTGGGATAACCCTGGGGACACCTGGGGTACACCTGGGCACAGCTGGGATACAGCTGTGGTACACCTGGGTGCAGCTGGGCACACCTGGGTACAGCTGGACACACCTGGGATACACCTGGGC